AGGGAAGAGAGCCGCAAGGGCACAGTGACAGGGCTGGCGCTAGGGGCCGCTGTGCCCCTTTTGCTCCAGTCCTGCCCTCTGTGATCCCAGGAGGAGTCTGCTTAGAACCAGCTTCCCGCCCCTGTGAGTCAGGGGGCCGCTTCTTCCCGCCGGGGGGCTGTGCTGCAGAAGGACTGTGGGAACTGGTGAGTGTGGGGGGAGGGCCCTGGGGAGCCTCCCTGCCCCCGGGCTGGCAAGGCCCAGTGCGGTGACTGATCCCAGGACGCTGTGCGCTCAGCACATGCCAGGAAAGCCAGTGGCTCTGCGGGAGCGACAGTACCTGCTGTGAGGAGCTGGAGGCTGGCTGTGCGGAGGGAGAGGCCCCATGCCGGGAGAGTGGGCACCGTGTGCCCCACAGGTGGCTTTGTGACAACCAGGATGACTGTGGTGATGGCTCAGACGAGGAGGGTGAGTGTCCTTGCTTGGCTGGGGCAGTGGCTGAGTGACGGTCAGTCCTCAAACGCGTCACTACAACGTGTCCTGAGCTGCTGCTCACAGTGGCAGCAGTTGTGGCTGGTGGGCAGGGCTGTTCTGGTCTTTCTGGCGTCGGGGGGCTCCTCTAGGACCCTTTGTCATCCTGACCCTGACTGCTTGCCCCATGCCAGGCTGTGCCACGCCAGGCTGTGGGGAGGGGCAGATGTCTTGCAGCTCCGGCCACTGCCTGCCCCTGGCCCTGCTCTGTGACAGGGCAGGACGACTGTCCGGATGCCGCTGACGAGGAGGCCTGTCTGGGTGGGTGGGCTAGCTCAGGACTCCAGTCCACCAGGCAGCCCCTCCCACTGAGTCCCAACCTTCCTGCCTCCCCTCCTTCACCAGTTCAGGTTCCTGCTAGGAAGCTCGCACCCGGAGGTGTGTGAATAGGGGCACCCCAAACATTCAGCTTAAGGGGCAGTGCCTTGGGACCAGCTCCAGCTTTCTCCGGATGCAGGGCAGCTGAACTGCTCTCCTGGGGAGCTGTCCTGCGTTGATGGCACCTGCGTGGGGGCCGTCCTGCTGTGTGACGGAATCTGGGACTGCCCGGATGGAGCCGACGAGGGACCCGGGCAGTGCCCCTTCCCTTCGCTGCCCACTCCCCCAGTGGGCACTGTGCCTGGCCCTTCCGCGGGTTTTGGGGGGACTGCACCAACTCCCCGGGCCAGCGCCAGCCCCGGTGAGTGTCCTGGAGGAAAAGGGGTGAGAGAGCCGGAATCCAGAGGCCTGGGAAAGAGGGGTGGGGAGAGCATCTCAGAGGGAGGCATTGGGGCAGGTGCTGGGGGTGAGGAGCGGGCACAGACCCAGCCTCCTGAAAGGGGTTTGAGAGGGCCTGGAAGAGTCCCGGTCTTACTTCTTGACATTGAGGCGCTCCCACTGACATGAGGGGATTGGGGCGGTCAATGCAATTCCTGGGCCGGGGGAGAGCTTTTGGGAAGCCAATGGGGGGGAGGCGGCGAAAGGCGGGCACGCCTGGACGTGGGGAGGGGCTGGAGGTGGGGGAAGTCGGGCGCAGGAAAGGGGCGGGCAGGGCCGGCGTGGGGAGGCGGGCGGCGGAGGCGGCGGAGGCGGCGGAGGCGGAGGCGGCGGAGGCGGCGGAGGCGGCGGAGGCGGCGTCCAGCGGCTGTGCCTGCCGCAGCGCCGCCCTGCGGCCCGCACGAATTCCCGTGCGGCAGCGGCGAGTGCGCGGCCCGGGGGGCTGGCGCTGCGACCGCGAGGAGGACTGCGCCGACGGCAGCGACGAGCACGGCTGCGGCCCGCCCTGCGCCCCGCACCACGCGCCCTGCGCCCGCGGCCCGCACCGCGTGTCCCCCGCGCAGCCGTGCGACGGCGTGCCGCACTGCCCCGACGGCTCGGACGAGGGCCCCGCCGCCTGCGGTGAGAGCCCGGCCGCCGCGCCGCCGGCGGGGCCCCGTCTCTCCCCACCCCCGGCCCCAGCCGCACGCCTGCGGCCTCAGAGCCTCCTTTGATCTTTTTCACGAAACTCTCTTTGAAGACCTTTGACCTCCCACCCAGGCCCAGGGGAGAGAAGAAAGGGGCTTTTGTCTTTGCTCACATTTGGGCAAAAAGGGATAAGAGAGTGGGCAGCGGCTCTGCAGGCACGGGAAGTGGGCCTGTTTGGAGGGCTAGCCCTCCAGCTCCACCCCACCAGACGCGGGCGGTCCCTTTGTGCCCCTGCGAAGCAACCCCTCCTGTCCCGGCCACCGGTCCCTGGGAGGAGGGGGCAGCTGTCCACAGGCTCCGACTCCTCCCCAGGTCTGCCTGCCCCTCCTGGACCCCTCCCAAAGGTGTTTTTGAGCTAGGTTCAGGTTCAGTGTTGGCTCTGCCTCCTGCTTGCGCTCCCCTGCTTTGGTTCCTCCCTGCCGGCCCCTCTGCAGAGAGTGGGTGGGAGGTGCAGAGGCTCAACGGGACACTCCTCTGGTGCCCACAAGCTCCCCCCCCAGCTGTCCCCTGTGGTTTGGTTCCCCAGCTGTGCCTGAACCCTGAGCAGCTCTGTGATGGGATCTCTGACTGTTCCCAGGGCGAGGATGAGCTGGGCTGTGGGAGGGACACTGCTCCCCTGATGGAGGCCAAGGCTGCTGGTGGTGGGGGGGGGCAGTTCTCACTCCTGGTCTGTTTTCTCTTCCCTTCCCCAGAGGGGATGACAGCCCCAGGAGGCCCCAACGGAATCAGGGCTCCCTGCCCGGAATACTCCTGCCCTGATGGCCTCTGCATCAGTTTCCAGCTGGTGAGGGGGTGGGGTGGGGGAGTGGGTGACACAGGAAACAGAGCCATTGTGCCACCCAACTCGAGAGGAACCTTGCTCCCGTTCCCTCCCCAGGATTGTGATGGGCAGCCTGACTGTGAATTGGCCGGGGAGCTAGGGCCTTCCCCAGAAGAGCAGGGCTGTGGGGCCTGGGGCACCTGGAACTCATGGGGGCCATGCAGCCAGACGTGTGGGCCTGGGGTGCAGGGCCGGAGCCGCCACTGCTCCCCCCGCCGCCCGCCGGGTCTCCCGGTGCTGCAGCACTGCTCAGGCCCTGAGCACCAGACTCAGGCCTGCTTCACGGCCGCCTGCCCAGGTGAGGGGCCTGGGGTGCCTGGGAGGGCCAGTGGGGCAGGTGGGGGCCCAGAGAGAGCAAGGGAGAGGAAGACCACAGGGCTCACAGCCTGGCCTCAAGCCCACCAACGCGTCCTGCCCCTCCTGCTCACAGTGGATGGCGAATGGACCTCCTGGTCTCCCTGGTCCCCGTGCACTGAGCCATGCATGGGCACCATGACCCGTCAGCGACAGTGCCACCCTCCCCAGAATGGGGGCCGGACCTGTGCCATGCTGCCCGGGGACCCTCCCACCACCCTCCAGACCAGTGAGTGCCAGGAAGGGGGGGCACAGCTGGGAGGAGGGTGTGATGGGCTTGCTGGTGGGTGGCTTGTGTCTGCAGGGGACCCACCTTTCCCAGACTCTGGTTCTGATTTTCTCTCAGGCCCCTGCCCTCAGGATGGCTGCCCTAATGCCACCTGCTCTGGGCAGTTGCTGTTCTGGCCCTGTGCCCCCTGCCCTCTGACTTGTGCTGATATCTCTGGTCAGGCTGTGTGCGTGGCTAACCAGACCTGCAGCAGCCCAGGTAAGGGGGGCTCTGGGCCCAGGGGGTGGCAGGCGTGTCTGTGGAGGTGGAGCTCTCTGCAGGGAAGCCTCACCCCGGGCCTCCCCTAGGCTGCTGGTGCCCTGCAGGCCAGGTGCTGGGCAGCGAGGGGCGGTGCGTGTGGCCATGGCAGTGCGCCTGCCTGCTGGATAACAAGTGGTACTGGCCTGGGCAGCGCATCGAGGCCGACTGCCAGCTCTGCACCTGCCAAGACGGGCAGCCTCAGCGCTGTCGGCTCGACCCTGGCTGTGCCGGTGAGGCCCTGCCCTTCGCCTTTCCTCAGGCCTCCCTCGTCCCCTCCCAGGCCACCCAGCTGGGCACCCAGCCCTCTTCCAGCTCCTGACTCTTGGCCCTCCCTCAGTGAACTGTGGCTGGTCCTCCTGGTCCCCCTGGGCTGAGTGCTTGGGCCCCTGTGGGAGCCAGAACATTCAGTGGTCCTTCCGGAGCCCCAACAACCCCCACCTCTCCGGCCAAGGTCGCCAGTGCTGAGGCATCCACTGTAAGGCCCGCAGGTACTTGCACCTTCCCCGGGGCACCCGCAGGGACCTTTTCCCCTCGCCTCTGGCTCCCAGTTAGGAAGCTGCTGGTGAGCTCTTTTTCATTCGAGATGCTTCCATATGCACCATGGACCCCAGATGAGGAAACCCCCCCCGACTCTGAGCCTTATTAGTCTAAACACCAGGACTCCCAGCACAGTTTTGGGGAACCCCTGGCCTTCTCCTGCATCAATGTTACACCCTCCAAGTCCGAAAGAGGGATGTAGGGAGCCCACAAATCTAGGGACAGGTATGGGTCCTCTGGTTTGCACCCCCATGCCTCTGAAGGTAGTGGGGTCGGTGGGGGGGAGGGTTGCGGGGTGTAGTCATATCTGCCTGTCCATCCTCCTCTGAAATGGGCTCCATGGGCCAGGGTTGTGGCACCGCTTGCTTCCACACCCCTCTCTGGGGCTAGTTGCAGTTTCTTGGGTGCAGGGGTGAGATCTGGGTGATAGGGAGCCCGAGCATCCCAGGCGGCTCAGGACTGTCCCGGTTTTATCACGGAAGTCCTGGGAAGCCACTCACTCGAGGCAAATCAGGACAGGTTGGTGGCCTGGGTGAGCCCGCTGGGCAGGCATGCGGTGGCCCTTCTTCCAGGTGCCGGACAGAGGCCTGTGCGGGCTGTGAGCGGCAGGGCCGGCTCCGCGGCGTGGGGGAGCGCTGGCGAGAGGGCCCCTGCACAGTCTGCCAGTGTCTGCCCAGCAGCACCGTGCGCTGCTCCCCGTACTGCCCACTGGGCAGTTGCCCCCAGGTGAGGAGGCAGAGGGGCCTGGGCTGGGTTGGGGGAGGCGCAGGGTGCAAAGGCCAAGGTTGCAGGCAGCTGATAGACTGGGTCGGAGCTTGGCAGTGGCCAGCTCGGCATGTCCAGCCTGACTCTTGTGTCCACAGGACTGGGTCCTGGTGGAGGGAATGGGAGGTTCATGTTGCCGCTGCGCCCCGCCTGGTGAGTGGGTCTGGGGAGTGGCAGGGCGACCCCCAGGGCAGGAGGACAGCAGGTGCTCAACGGGAGCCCCAGGTGGCAGCACTGAGTCCGGGGGTCCGTGGCTACCCAGGCCTCAGGGTGCTGGGAGCCTGGGTCCTGGATGCTGGGGAAGGAAGGGGCCCTCTGGGTGGGAGGACTGGTCTCTGCCCTCCTGAGGTCAGGTCTCAATCTCTGCCTGCCTCCTCTGTCCTTTGGGGGCTTTCTGCCTCCCGCCTTGAGGGTGCTTTCTTTTCTCTGATTCTACTGGGCCAGGTCTGGGGTTGCTTCCCTTTCCCCTAAGAGCAACTGAGACAAAGTTGAACTTTTTATTTTTATTTTTTTTTTCAAGATTTTATTTATTTATTTGCCAGAGAGAGACACAGCGAGAGAGGGAACACAAGCAGGGGGAGTGGGAGAGGGAGAAGCAGGCTTCCCGCGGAGCAGGGAGCCCGATGCGGGGCTCGATCCCAGGACCCTGGGATCATGACCTGAGCTGAAGGCAGACGCTTAACGACTGAGCCACCCAGGCGCCCAAAGTTGAACTTTTTAAAGAGGAAACCGAGTTATAAATGAAACAGCAAGGGGCACCTGGGTGGCTCAGTTGGTTGAGCGTCTGCCTCCGGCTCAGGTCATGATCCCAGGGTTCTGGCCCCTGCTCAGCGGGGAGCCTGCTTCTCCCTCTCCTCCCCACTCATGCTCTCTGTCGCTATCTCTGTCTATCTCTGTCAGATAAATAAATAAAGTCTTTAAAAAAATAGAAATAAATAAACGAAACAGGAAAATACAAACACTCGAAAACTAATGCGTTTATGGGTCCGGATTCCTTATCTGTAAAATGTACCTACAGGCAGCTGAAGTTAGAGGAGAGCCAGCGTACACGGTTGTACCGGCTGTTCACTGTACAAGTTGGTTGGCAAGTGGGAGTTCGATCCCAACCCTGCTTCCATCCAGAGATACCCTTATATAGTGCCCACAGAGGTCCCCTATTAGCAACAGTAGCCCTGGATTAGGAACTGTCGCTGCTTGGTTCTGGTCCTGAAGTGATTTCAGACTGGCGGTTTTATTCTGCATTCTCTAAATATTCAGTGGAAGTGGAAACCATCAGCTCATGCCAAGGGAAGGAGGACAGGCCTTTTCCAGCTGGGAGGTTGTTCTGGGGGCTCCCGGGAAGTCCTGGGAGAGAAGGTGCTCCAAGAAGTGGGGAGAGACCTGGGTGCCGGGCCAGGGGTCAGTGTGAGCCTATCTGCAAGTCTCTCTCTCCTGAACCCTGAGTTTCCCTACACAGGAGAGAACCAGACGGTCCACCCCCTGGCCACTCCTGCCCCCTCTCCAGCCTTCAGTGCCCAAATCGGACCCCCTCTGGTCACCTACGTTCTGCCTCCGCCTGGAGTTGAGGGCCACGAGCTGTCGTGGAACAGAGAGTGGACATGGCCCAGGGGTCACCCAGCCAGGAGGGGAGGCAGGCTGGCTCACCGGGATTCACCCCTGCCTTCCACGGGGGGACAGTTATCCTAAGGATCTGGAAGTCATCCTGGCTCAAGTTGCTGGTCTGACTGTCCTCTCTGGACCACCCTTCCATCCCGGGTCAAGGTCAACGTGGGGCCCTTGGCACGCCTCAGCTCTCCTTGTGACCTGCTGACTGTACCCCTGGTAGGCTTCTGCCACCGTCTGCGCTTCTCCCACTCCAGTACCTCTCTCCTCTGCACCCAGACCCCTGCTATTGCCCGCTGGGCCTGGCCCGACTCCCCGAGGGGAGCCTGAAGCTGGAGCCCCCCACCCAGGCTGCCCTCCTGGGGGCTCCCACCAAGGGGCCTGGCTATCCGGGTTGGAGCACTCAGCGGCACACCCGGCCCGCCTACCTGCTGTTGGACCTGCTGCTGCCCCGGAGCCTCACTGGTCAGTGCAGTGGGGGTGGGGGCTGGAGGACTGGGCTGTGATGGTGGGCTGGGGGTGGGGCTCACTCTTTCAGCTCGGACCCCCGCCCCACCCCCCAGGCATCATGGTGCAGGGCGCTGGGTCCTCGGCCTTGCTCCAGTCCAGCAGCGATGGTCTACACTGGCACAACTGTACTGACGTCCTGCTTGGTATCCTGCCCCCAGCCAAGGTACGGCTGCCCGAGCCTCCTGGGTCAGTGGCCCATCATGCCTCTTTGTGGGTCCCACCGTCTTTGTCCCCGAGCGCCTTCCAGTCTCTCCGAGGGACATTCCTACCTTAGAGGCCTGTTGAACACCCGTCAGGAACAGGGGCTGTCAAAAGGGCATCAGAGGCTATCACAGTGGCTGAGGTGCGGGGCAGGTGTGCAAAGCTCTGGGGGGGGGGAGGAGGGAGTAAGGTGACATCAAGTTCATTGAGGATCGCAGTGACCGCATCAAGAGCAGCTGGGGCACAGCCCTGCCCTTATGGGGTTTGTATCCTCCGCAGGGAGACAAGCCTCCCGACGCAGGAGGAACCAGTTTATACCATGTATTTACTCTGAATTCTGTCTCTGGGCGTACATGAATGGGCACAACCTGGCCCCTGCCCTTGGGGCAGCAGGGCCAGAACCCACAGCCTTGAGGGGTCCTGATGATTCATGCCAGGAGAGCAAGAGCTCTTCGTGCCCTGGAGTTTGGGGGGCTTGAATTGGGTGGGCCCACTCAGCGGGGTCAGGGGAGGCAGCCTGGAGAAAAGGCCGGCCCCGGGCCCAGTGAACAGGCACCCCCGTCTCTGCAGCTTTTCCCTAGGAACCAGGATGACGGGGCCCCCACACTGCAGACGTCTGGCCAGATGGTGCAGGCACAGCACGTCCGGGTGTGGCCCCAGGTCTGCCATGGTGACACCAACCACAGCATCTCCCTGCAGGTGGAGCTGCTGGGCTGTGAGCCAGGTACCGGTGGGCTGGGGGAGGGAGGGGCGGGCGCAGGGGGCGGGCCCGACGGGAGCCCTCAGCCATCCCCTCCCACCAGTGTCCCCGCTGGCGGTGCCCCCGTGTGCAGGGGGCAGGCACCGCAGTGCCGGTGGCGAGTGTGCTCCGCGGGGGGGGCCGTGCGACGGGGTGAAAGACGGTGAGGACCGCTCGGACGAGGAGGGCTGCGTGCCCCTGCGCGCGGCCACTGACAGGTACGCGGTGCCCTGCTGCCCAGCTTCGCCTTGGAGGGCCCGGCCTGTGAGAGACGCCTTGAGCCACCTTCAGCCCTGAGGTGCCCGTGGCTGGAGGCCCCTCCCACCATGGGATGCTCGGATGCGATGCCCTTTTCCTAGAGTCTGGAGGTTAGTGGTTCTCAAAATGTGGCCCCTGGACCAGCAGCATCAGCATCCCCCGGATGTTGTGAGCAAATGCAGATTCCCAGGCCCCAGCTCAGACCTACTGAGACAGACCCTTGAGCCTGTAACAGAAATCTGCTTTACAAGCCCTCCAGGGGGGTCAGTACACTGAAAACCACTGGGTAGTGTCCACTTCATCTAGTCTTAGCGGGCAGTGCTCTTCCAGAGTGCCCCAGCCCTGCCCTGTGCTGGGCCCACCCAGGGAGGGCACTGACTGCCCTGCCGGGGGCCGGGGTGGGGGGGCGTGCTCTGAGGTTGGGAGAGCCCCTGGAGTCCTTGATGATTTGTCTTCTCAGAGTCTGGTCCACAGCCAGGACCCCAGTGCTCTCGTCCACCCAGCCTGGACAGCTGCCCCTCCAGTCCACAGAGGTGAGTGGGGAGCTGCAGGCCCAGCAGGAGGGGGTGCAGGGCATGGAGAGCCCCGGCCCCAATGCCTCAGCAGCCATGTTCGCTTGCCCCGCCGTCTTCCACCCTCTCTTCACGCCTTCAGCCAGCATTGCCTCCCTGTGTGTCCCTGGTCGGCTCTTGTAGTCTGCCTGAGCCTGTGAGACTTCTGGGGGCCAGCCCGGTACTAGATGGGCAGTTGGAGGCCAGAGGGGCAGAGAAGCCCCGGGCAGATGCTTGTGCTGGAGGAGTTTGGGAGATCAGAGAGGTCTTCACCACTGGGTCGTGAAGTTATGCCCACAGGGCTGGCACCAGGGCCTCAGGCGCTCAGAGCTGGGAAGAGCCCTGTTTGTCCCTAGGGGCCCCAGAGGCTTCCTGGAAAAGGCTAGAAAGATGAGGGAGTTCTGTAATGTGGAGCTGAGGGGTAGACACTCGCTCTGGAGAAGAGCCTGGTCAGGACCCCCGAGGGGAGAGTGATCATAGCGCTGAGGCCCACATGTGTGGATGCCGGGGGAAGACAGGGGTTTTGGGGGGCAGGAGCTGAAGCAGAATCCTAGGCAAGGCAGTGAGAAGAGCCCCTGAGCCCCCAGTACCTGGGGTGTCCAGCCCGGAGGTGTGCAGGGCAGTGGGGCTCCACTCCCCAGCTCTACCCTGCACTTTGAGGGCAGGGGAGGGGCCGTGGGGCGGAGGCACATCTCAGTGGGAATGAGAGGTGGGTGCCGAGTCGCCAGGCAGCACTGCCCTTGGGGCCCAGGCTGAGCCCTCTCCCTCCATAGGCTCTGGCAGAGGCCGAACGCTGGCATCCCTCGCGAGGGTCACCCACACCCCCCACAGGTATGTGCACAAACTCCAGGCCCCCTGTTCCCAGCCCGCAGGGCGAGGGACCATTACATCTCAGCGGTCAGTCTCCTGCTGACCCCTGGCATCCCTCAGTGGAGCAGGGTGACCTCCAGGAGGAGGACCTGGTCATCATGGCCTCCTTGGCCAAATCCTGCCCCCGCTCACCCTCCTGGATTCCAGGGTCGGATGCTCCAGGCTGGCTCCCAGGGCCGAGCCTGGGCCCTGCAGTATGGCTGCCTTCCCCGGGTCCCTGGCCGGGACAGGTCTCCCTGGGGCTGTGGAACGCTGCCTGGCCCCACCTGCGCTCCCTGCGCTCCCTGCGCTCACCCATGAATGCAGCCAGGCACCCCTTTCGGAAGGGCTTGCTGGCAGCAAATGACAGGGAGGATGGGGGTCACCAAGTTAGCAAGATCCTAAACTGGACGAGGAGGGAGCTCCCCACGGCTGCCTGATCTGTCACCTGCACGTTAGCCCGAGGAGAGCTGTCCCAGAGCCAGGTGGGGAAGGGGTGGGCTGCTCTTTTGTAAAAAGCAGATGAAGCAACTTGTACCATCACTAGAGTCCATAACACGCAGACTGTGGGATGAATTCTAATGTCATTCTAAATCTGCTTCTAGAAGAACGGCTGTCTTTTAACATTCATCTCTTGTTGGCAAAGAAGCGTCTCAAACCCCTTTTCACTGTAGCTGCCAGGAAGTTGTCGGGTGCGGGGCCTTAAACACAGTACTGTCCCTTTGACTTGGAAGCTGCCCCGAGTGTCTATCTCAGCTCCAGACTAAGCCCTTTTCTACTTTCATGTAAAACCCTCTTGTGCTCCTTGGACTGCGGAATTCCTCTTCATCTGTGGTCTGAAGCCCCTCAGAAGGTGGGGTATGGTCTGTCCTCACCCTGCACCACCCAGAGCCTGGGTGCCCTTCCGAGAGCCTGTGTCTGCTTCATCTCTTGGGAGGGGAGCTTGTGGGCCTCACCCCTCTCTCTCCCGCACCCGCAGGGAAGGGACCAGCGACTCAGGCCCTAGCCTCCGAGCCTCCTCACTTGAGTCCTGGGGAATCTGTGCAGACCGTGACCACCACCCCCATATGCAGGTGACCCCAGTGGCCCCTGCTGGTAAGATTCCGTGGTCTTCTGCCTGCTAAGCCCATGCATCCCAACAACGTCCCTGTTGGAGAAACAGAGGCCCCAGGGGGTTAGCCACTTGGCTCAAGATCACACAGCTTGAGGTCAGGGTTGTAGAAGGACCTAGGACCACGCCTCCTGAGGCAGCTCATGACTTTTCCATGGTCCCAAGAGAGGCAGGAAGTGGGGGCACACCAGTCAGGAGGAGGGAGGTTCGGGGGCGAGGGAGGGAGGACACCGTGGGCAGGTGTCCCGTCAGCTGGCTGTGGTGGTGCCCACAGCCCAGAGCGTCGCCCCGGAGCCCTTCCCCCCTGCAAGGTGCAGCCCAGGCCAAGTGCCCTGTGGGGTGCTGGGCTGTGTGGAGCAGGGGCAGCTGTGTGATGGGAGGGAGGACTGTCTGGAAGGCTCCGACGAGAGGCACTGTGGTAAGCAGGGGTCCCTCAGGGCACCCTGGAGGGTTTGAAGTCATGTGGGTGGCAGTGGCCAGAGGGCTTTAGGTTTGGGGAAGTCTCCGCCCCCTATTCCTACCTCATCTGGGAAGGAACTGTGGGAGGCTGGGGGTAGTAGAGAGTGAAAAGAAACTGAGTGGGTAAAACAGCCAGGAATGTGTGTGTCTTTGGGGATGGTCAAGGGGGCAAATGGGACAGGTCTCAGGTCCTAGCCTGTTTCACAAACCCTGTCTGATCTTTGAGTGGATTCCTCTAACTATCCATTAATCCATCCATCTACCCATCCATATATCCACCCACCCTCCATTCACCCATCCCCCCACCAGCCAGCCTTCCAGCATTCATTCAGCCACCCCATCCATCAGTCCTCATCCATGCATCCATCCATCCATCCATCCATCGAAAGTAGATTACTATGCTCCAAGCCTAGTCTCTCAATCAGAGAAGGGGCAACCCTCGGAGCACCCATTCAAGAAGAGGGTATCCTAGGGAAGGAGCTGTTCTTCTCGACAGTTTGCTCTCTCTCTGGACACCCAGAGCCCTTAGCAAGCAGAGAGACTGTGTGAGAGCCTGTGGCGAGCACAGACCCCCGGGTCTCACCCACACAGAGTAGAGAAAAGGCTGCCCGGGGTGTGGGAAGCTTCAGGGGAAAGGAGGCAGGACCTCTGGTCAACAAGCTGCTCTGCCCTTGGCCTGAGGTCGAAGGGGCTCAGTTTATCATCGGGTCAGGAATCACTTACGTGGCTCCCTTTCCCCGACCTCGCGGGCAGCGAGCCCTGTGCCTTTCACGGTGCCCACCACGGCCCTGCCCGGGCTGCCTGCCTCGCGAGCCCTCTGCTCCCCGAGCCAGCTGAGCTGTGGTAGTGGGGAGTGCCTGCCGGCTGAGCAGCGCTGTGACCTGCAGCCGGACTGCCAGGACGGCTCTGACGAGCACAGCTGTGGTACGTGCCTGGCCAGGGGACACCTCCGATGGCCCCGCTCCTGCGCGAGCCCTCTCTGAGTGCCGCCTCCCCGTCCCCCTGCAGTGGACTGTGGGCTGACGCCCTGGTCTGGCTGGAGCCTCTGCAGCCGCACCTGTGGGCCGGGCCTCGCCTTCCAGCGCCGGGCCCTGCTGCGGCCTCCCCTGCCTGGGGGCAACTGCCCATCTGACAGGCTCCGCAGCCAGCCCTGCTTCTTGCAGGCCTGCCCAGGTAACCGGCACCCAGGCCTCCTCAGGACCCCCGGGTGGGAACACCTACCATGGGCTCCCATCCAAGACCCACACCAGGGGGATGCCCTTGCTCTTCTGGGGACCCCAGGGTCCAGGCTCCTCTCTGGGACTCTAGGAGACCGGCCCCTTCCGATGTCCAAGCCTTGTGCGTCCAGAAGGCTAATCAGGAAGCCTGACCTGGCCCTTTTCCCTTTTGCTGCCTGAGTGGTTCTGGACGGGTCCCTAACCTTGAGTGTGGAACTAGAGCAGCAGAGCGGGTCCCACTTCGGAGTGAGGGTGTTAATGAGCTGTGCCCAAGACCTGTAGCCCTTTTGTCCTGTAGATGCGAGGGAGTAGTCCCCACCTTGCCTCTGCATTGCAGAGAGGGCCTTCCTGCACCACACCCGGCCTCCTAACCTGGTTTCTGTCTGCTGCCACCAGGAGGCGCCCTGCTCCATCCAGGAGTCCCACTGTCTCAGCCCTTTCCGAGGGACCAGAACCTTTATCCGGGGAGGCACCTAGAGCTCTTTGCTCAGGTCCACCCACCTAGGGGAGGTTTCCTGGGACAGGACAGGAAGCTCACCCGTCACCACAGGAGTCCCCGGGGTGCTGCCCTAGGCCACGTAGCTGGCCACTGTCCAGGCTCCTCTCTGCTCTCCTGCCTTGCTCTCTACGGCACAGTCTGCGTGTCTTTGGGCTGGTCTGGTCCACCTCCATTCTTTCTTCCCTCACAGTGGCTGGGGCGTGGGCTGTGGGGGGGGCCTGGGGGCCCTGCAGCATCTCCTGTGGCGGTGGCCATCGGCGTCGCCACAGGAGCTGTGTGGACCCCCCGCCCAAGAATGGTGGTGCTCCCTGCCCCGGGGCCTCCCACGAGGGGGCACCGTGTGCCCTGCAGCCCTGCACAGGGGACACAGGTGAGGGAGCTGGGCTGGGCGGAGGCATCCAAGGGTGGAGCCCTGCGGGGGTGGGGCTGTTGGGGAAGGTCACCGGGCCTCCTGTACCCACCCCACCTAGTGTCCAATCTCCCACCAGACTATGGGCTGGGCCGTGTGCATATTAGTGCTGAGCTGTGCCGGAAGGGGCTGGTGCCCCCGTGTCCGCCCTCCTGCTTGGATCCTGAGGCCAACAGAAGCTGCAGCGGGCACTGTCTGGAGGGTGAGGCACACCCAGCAAGCAGGAGTGCGGCGGGCAGAGCCCTCGGGGGAGTGTGGGGTGCTCGCCGGCCCTCAGTCCCCAGCCTCCCCTCCCCACTGCCCCCTACGTGGGGCTGAGGGCCCTCCTGCCTACACCCCAGGATGCCGCTGCCCCCCTGGGCTCCTCCTCCTCCATGATGCTCACTGCCTGCCCCTCTCTGAGTGCCCTTGCCTCGTGGGTGAAGAGCTGAAGCAGCCGGGGGTGCCCTTCCTCCTGGACAACTGCAGCCGCTGGTGAGGGTGTCTGCTCTGGTGGGGAGGACCTGGGTCAGGGGACCAGCCAGTCCTGACCTCTTCTGCCTCCCCCTCCCCCGCAGCATGTGTGAGAAGGGGGCCCTGCTGTGCGAACCAGGGGGCTGCCCCGTGCCCTGTGGCTAGTCAGCCTGGTCCTCCTGGGGTCCCTGTGACCGCTCCTGTGGCTCTGGAGTGAGGGCCAGGTTCAGGTGTGCAGGATGGAGCCATTGGTGGGGGGTGGGGAGGGGAAGGTGTGCAGGATGGAGCCATTGGTGGGGGGTGGGGAGGGGAAGGTGTGCAGGATGGAGCCATTGGTGGGGGGTGGGGAGGGGAAGGTGTGCAGGATGGAGCCATTGGTGGGGGGGAGGGGAAGGAGTATGGGAGGAGGAAGGGACGGAGGTGGTGGAGGGAGGGTGGTTGGAGGACAGGCGAACAAGGACGACGGGGGAAAGCAGGGAGAGGAGCGGGGATGCTCAGGCTCCCTCTCCCCCCAGACCCCCTTCCAACCCTCCGGCTGCTTCTGGGGGCGCCCCGTGTGAAGGCGACAGTCAGGAGCTGCAGGCCCGCCACGTGGAGTGCGGGACAGGTACATTCAGGAGCCGGGATGCAGGAGCCTGCTACCCACCCCCGACCCCCATGCCTGCCTCCCTCCTCCCAGTTGCCGCCCTGGGAACACAGCACGATTGACGGGGCCACTGGTCACCTGCATGGTGGTCAGTGTGGCCTTCCGGTCCAAGAAGGAGCCTTGGTGCCAGGGGCTTTGTCGGGGACAAGACAGAGGGTGGGGCCCAGGCGGCATCTTCCTCCCACATAGACAGCCCAGGTGCCATGAGCAGACTGGTCTTGGGGGAACAGGGTGTCTGAGAGCAGGGGTGAAGCTGGTCCTGTTGGCCGAGGGTGAGGCTGGGGTGGACAATCAGAACAGAGACGCCAGACGAAGGAGCCCAGACTGTTTCCCTCTTCCGCTGCCTGGGGTCCCCTCAGGAGAGCAGGTGCCACAGAGACTGCAGAGCAGGTGGGTGTGACGGAGGTGAGAATAGGGGTCCCTGGGGTCTGGGCCATGCTCTTCCAGCGGGGGTGAGAAGAAGGGAGCAGTGGAGCATGGCTACTGGGGCCCTGACAGGTGTCTGATTGACAGGTGTCTGTGGGGGCTTGGGTTTCCAGCACTGAAGCTGAATGAAGGACAGGTGTTTAGAAGACTCTGGAAGAGTTGAGCTGGGGGACAATGTGAGGGTGGGTAGGGGACGTGAAGTGCCATCAGGGCCCACAGATGGGGGTCCGGCCTGAGCTGGAGCTTGGCTGAGCAGGAGGCCGTTCTTTGAGAGTGAGACCTGGGCCCGGGGGTGGGGGTCCCAGAGGGGCAGAGGCCGAGCCTGAGCCCAGAGACGCACTCCCCATCTTCACGAGTCCTTCCCTGGCCCCCATAGCTTCTCAGACCCGACCCGGCCTCCCAAGCCTCCCGGCCCTGGCAGGACCCCTGCGCGGAAGGCCTGCCCTTTTCCCCTCCAGAGGCGCCGGGCTGGACCCCCTGGGCGCCCTGGTCCTCCTGCTCCCGGAGCTGCCTTACCATCAGGGGAGGCCCTGGTTGGGGCCGTCGTTCCCGGCTCTGCCCCAGCCCCGGGGACACATCCTGCCCAGCAGAGCCCACCCAGGAGGAGCCCTGCAGCCCCCCTGTGTGCCCAGGTACGCCCCCCTCTGCCCCTGGAGTGGCCTGAGCACTAGGATGGGATAAGGAGCAAAGGGGAAGAAGAACCCCTTGGGCAGGTTCTAAACCCCTGGGGCGGGGAGGGGGCAGGGGGCTAGAGCAGACCTGTCGTCTGGAAGCTTCTCCTCCGCCCCCAGCTAGTGATTAACAGGGTGGGCCTAGCCTGAGGGATGTTTGGGACAGCCCTGGCGGTGTGGATGTGGCTGAAACTAGTTCCGACCCCGCACACCACACAGCCCGGGCCCTCCTGTGCCCCACCCCCTGCCCACACCTTTGCCCGCGTCCACGATGATGGACTTGGCTCTTCCTGACAGTGTCAAGCGCCTGGGGTCTGTGGGCTCCCTGGTCGGCCTGCTCAGCCCCCTGTGATGGAGGCATCCAGATACGCGGGCGCAGCTGCTCTGGCGTTACTCCCGGGGACCCCGCGTGCCAGGGGCCTCACAGCCAGACCAGGGATTGCAACACGCAGCCCTGCGCAGGTGCCAGTCTCTCCCCCCCGCCCCGCCCTTCTCCACTCGGCCATGCCCAGCCAGCCCCTGGGGATGCAGACCTCTCTTCACCCCACCTTCCCACATCACTGCCCTCTGGCTCCAGAACAGGCCAGACCCTGAGCTAAGAGGCTGCCGAACGTCCTAGTCTGCCTCCTCTGGCTCCTGTACTCTGGGCACCAGACACGGGCCGTGGCCCGAGGCTCAGGCTCTTTGCCCCTCTCTGCCCAAGATCTCCTTCCCAGGCACGTGGCTGAGAACCACAGAACCACAGAACCACTCACTGCGGGAATTGCGGAAAGCAGAGCTGGCCCATCTTTAGAAGCCCCTGGCCCCGTCTCCCTCGCTTTCTCCTTTGAGCCCCCTCCTGGCCCAGTGACTGCTCTACTTTCAAGGATATTTGTGTTGGGGCGCCTGGGTGGTGCAGTCAGTTAAGCGTCCGACTCTTGGTTTCAGGCCCTGATCTCAGGGTCGTGGGATCGAGCCCCGTGTCAGGCTCCGAGCTTTGCACGGAGTCTGCTTAAGATTCTCTCTCCCTCTTTCTCTGCCCCCCACCCCCTGCAAATAAAAATAAAAGGATATTTGTGTTAAAGTTAGACAAAGCCATGAATCCTTAGTGGCAACCTTCTGGGCACTGGAGTGAACCTGCAAAGGAGGGAGAGTGGGAGGGGGCTTCCTCCGGCTTCGCAGTCCTGCTTGCCAGTCACCTGCATGCAGCCTCTTCTTGCCCCTCCCTCTCCTGGCCCCTTCCTCCTGCCCATGCTGAGACCCGCTCTGTCTTCCCGTCCAGCCCAGTGCCCGGGGGACATGGTGTTCCGCTCAGCAGAACAGTGCCAGCAGGACGGGGGCCCCTGCCCTCAGCTGTGCTTGGCTCAGGACCCTGGGGAAGAGTGCACCAGCTTCTGCGCCCCTGGCTGTGCCTGCCCCGCTGGCCTCTTCCTGCACAACGCCAGCTGCTGGCCCCGCACTCGGTGCCCCTGCCAGTTGCAGGGGCAGCTCCACGCCCCGGGAGCACGGGCTCGGCTGGACTCCTGCAACAACTGGTAAGCCACCAGCCTCCGGAGAGGGTGGGGGAGGGGCTCGGTGGCCCCAAGGGTGGACAGGCGTGGACACACACCCCAGGGGTCCATTCGCCTCCGTGGTGCCAGGCCTGGGCCCCGGGAATACCAAAGCGAGTGAGGGGCTGCCTGGTCACCGGGCTGGGCGTCCGTGGGGAGGCTGAGGCTCAGATAGGTGCGGTGATTGGTGAACGAAGTAGGGGTCGGTGAGGGTCTTCTAGCCTCCCCTTCCAGTCACCGTCCGCTCCCTTTCCTGGCTGTACTTCCCTACCTGGGATCCACTTGATTTCGGCTCAAACACCTTGATGCTGACGCCGGGTCCTGCCAGCAGGGGGCGCCCTCCCCCTGGTTCTTCCCACATTTTTGTTTTCTTACCTTTCCTTGTCTCCATTCTACATGTTCCTCTTTCTTTTTCTTCCCTCTCCCCTGCCCCCCAGCCCCTCCTTCATGCTTCCTTTCCCCCGCCCTCTTTCTCTTTTGCTTTTTCTCAGATTCTTTTTCTGGAATTTCCACGTATTTGAGTGGGGTTGGGGGGGGGGGCTTTAAACCACTGGAGAAAAGTAAAAGAAAAGAAAAGTACACAGTTCTTCTTCCCAAGAGACGCAGGCTAGGGTCTGCTCCTTCTAAATCCCTCCTACCCCGCCCTGAGGAGCTGTTCAAAGTCCTTTCCAAACTGTAATAAATACAAACAGAATGAAAGTATGTAAAGGTGACTTCTTGACCAGAGTGAGGAAGGAAGGCACGGTGCTGGGGGCGTCAGGGAGCCCAAGAGCGGGGGGCCTGGGTGGGAGGGTCCGGATGAGAACCCTCAGTCACCTCATGAAGTTCGACGGGGACGCGGGGCGACTTGCTTTACTTTCTAGACCCTCCCTCGGGTTTCTCTCCTGTGCGGTGGATGCGGCCGTGCCGGCCGTGTGCCCCTGGGGACAGGTACCCAGAGCTCCACAGGCAGGGCCTGACTATGGCCCCGATGGGTTCTCTGCAGTACCTGTGTCTCCGGTGAGATGGTGTGCACCTCGGAGCCCTGCCCAGGTACCCCCGACGCCCAGGAATCCGCAGTGGTGTGTCCTTAGGGACCATAGAGGAGGCTGGCCCCTCCAGGTCAACTCCTGGGGTGTTCATGGTGCCCCGGGGAAGCTGGGGACCAGGGACGACTTGACCTGGCTTCACACCCGCTGTGTCCCTCCCCACCCCCACCCCACCAGTGGCCTGTGGCTGGAGCCCCTGGACCCCATGGAGTCTCTGCAGCCGCAGCTGTGACATGGGCATTCGGTGGCGCTTCCGGGCAGGAGGCACTGCGCCCCCAGCTGCCTTCGGGGGTGCTGCGTGCCAGGGCCCTAGCATGGAGGCCGAATTCTGCAGCCTGCAGCCCTGTCGGGGTGAGAGCTGGGACCGAGGCCCTCAGAATCCTCCAGAGAGCAGCCAGGAACACACCCAGTTACTCCCCCCAGACCCCAAGAGAGGTGCAAGGGCCTACCCTGAAAGATGCCAGGAAGTGTCCCCAGAGAGCCCCGAGAGCCATTCCCTAAGAAGGGTCCTCCGTGGAGGCCAGCCCCGCTCCAGGCCGAGAAGGAGTGAGGCCTCCTGCAGTGTTGCAGGTGTGAGAAGGGGGCTGGTGCCCTAGGGTGTCTGAGTGGAGGACGGGGGTGTGGTGGGTGTGGGAGGTAGGGCCCGCAGTGACCTGCCTGCCACCCCAGGTCCTGGTGGGAAGTGGGGCCCCTGGTCCCCGTGCTCCGTGCCCTGCGGCGGCGGCTACCGGAACCGCACCCGAGGCGGTGGCCTCAACAGCCCTATGGAGTTCTCGGCCTGCGGGTGGCAGCCCTGTGCAGGTGAGGGCTGTGCCCACCTCTCCGCTGCGCCCCTACCCTCAATAATCATCTCGCCCAACCCAGAGCCTTGTCAACCCCTCCCTGTCACCGCAGGGGCCCCTGTCCCCGAGCTGCCGTGCGGCCCTATGACTGCCCCCCCCTCCCCCCGGCCACACTAGAGCTGAGGCCTCTTCTGGGTTGGGAGCCCAGGGCAGAGTTGAATGGGCCTGGGCTGGGCTGTCAATTTCTGTGTCCCCAGGGCCCGTGCCTGGCGTGTATCCCAAGGGCAAGCGGTGGCTGGACTGCGCCCAGGGCCCTGCCTCCTATGCGGAGCTCAGTGCCCCACAAGGGACAGACCAGACCTGCCACCCCGGCTGTTACTGCCCATCTGGGACGCTCCTGCTGGTGCGTGTCTTCCCTGACCTGACCTCCTTGGGAGGGGCAGAGCCAAGGGCATGGGACTTCGGAGTTGAGGAAAAAGCACTGAACTCAGGGGTCACGGCTCAGCTCTGCCAACAGTCAGCAAGGTGACCCTGTGTGAGTCATATATGTGCTTCCATGAGCCTCTCCTTTCCCATTTGTGAAATGGTGATCAGTCTAGAAGATCTTTATGATTCATGCCTACTTGAGCGCTCTATTCACTTACGTTATCATTAGTTATTTATTGAGCACCTTGGCTGCTCAGTCTTAGGGGGGCTACGCCATGGGGAAAAAGTAGACTCTGCCCTCGAGGAGCCTCTAGTCTGGGGAGACCAGACCCAGAGCACCTAGAATGAAGATAGAACCATCCTTACACGGGAAGTGACCTTTGCATATTGTGGAGCTTGGGATGCAGCCTGGCAGGGGCTGGGTCAGTGGCAGCGGGCTTCCTGGAGGAGGTGATCCTCATCGGACTGTCGGAGATTGCAGGGTGTGGAGAGCTGAAGGCGGCGTTGCTGTTGGAAGGCAGTGAGACCCAGGCTGGGAAATGAGGTGGGGGCCGTGGAATCTGGACAGAAGCTTGTGGGTGGTGGGGAGGGCTTACAGAAGTGCCGCTCAAGCCTGGGGTGTGGGCAAGGGGCCAGACTCCCGTGGGGTCTGAGTTCAAATCAGAGTCTTCTACTAGGAGCTCAGTGACGTTGGGCTGTGTAGTCTTGTGCCTCAGTTTCTTCATTTGTCAAATTGGGGTGATAATGTGCCTAGTCATTGGAGTCTGTAAAAGGCTGACATGCCTCCCAGGGCCTGGCCCACACCTCAGTACACTTGGCTTTGAATCATGTGCTGCTGGATGGCAGTTTTTTTTAAATTTAAGACACCAGCAACTTTTGTCCAGACTCCCTGTGTGTATAATTTCATCAGTTCAGATGTTCTTGATGAAATGTGGAATTTTGTTTTAAACATCGTTGCTCTGTGAATCGCACATTGCGTGTTTTGTTAGCTGATCCCATGGACATTTGACAGTTCAGTCTCACGTCCAGCAACTGGAGATGGTCTTTTGCTCCTATAACCGGTGGTGTACATTTCCTTGATGGTGGTGGTGGGAGCAGACGGGCTGTTTGTGGAAAGAGCATGGGTGGCGTTGGAGGGTGGGAGCCTGGGAAGGGGTGCTGGGTTCTGACTGTGGGGAGCAGGCCGGGCCAGCCCCACCTGGAATCCGGCAGATGACAGAGGGTTTTTGGTTCCAGAACAACGTGTGTGTGCCCTCCCAGGACTGCCCCTGTGCTCATGGGGGGCGCCTTTATGCCCCGGGCAGTGTGGTGCTTCATCTCTGTGAGAACTGGTGAGGACCCCTACCCCCCTTGGCCATGACCTGTGAGCACCTCGCTGTCCCCCCTTAGCGCCAGGGGATGTCGGCCTCCAGGGGGCCGTGGAGCTGCCCCTTGCCCCTCAGGCACAGCTGTCCAGCTCCCTGAGGCCCTTGCCCACGCCCTCCCTGCCCATCCTTTCTTCTCCCACCTGTCTTGGTCCGTTGGGTGCCACAGCAGACCCAGGGCATGTCCTCTCACACTTCAGGAGGCTAGAAATCCAAGATCAGAGTGTCAGCGGGGTGGTTCCTGCTGAGGGCTGTGGGGCAGAATCTGCTCCAGGCCCTTCTCTTCTGTGGTTGCTAGTGATCCTTGGTGTTCCCTGGCTGGTGGCTGCAACACTGCACGCCGCGTCCGTGGGCTGCCTTCTCCCTGTGGCCCCCTCTTCACTTCGTCCCCCTCTGTGCACGTCTGTGCTGAATCCGGATGTCCCCTTTGTAGAAGGACAGCAGTCATGCTGGACCAGGGCCACCCTAGCACCCTCACTGTAACTCGATCACCTCTGTAAAGACTTTGTCTCCAAGGTCACATTCTAAATCCTGGGTGTTCGGGCTTCATGGAGGAATTTGCAGGAACACGCTTCAGCCTGCGACAGCACCCTGACCTTCTGCTGTTTTCTTCCAGCTCCTGTGTTTCTGGGCTTATCACCCACTGCACCTCCTGGCCCTGTGAGGAGGGTGAGAAGGGGGGCCCCTATGCCCCGACGGTGCCTCCTGTGGGCTCCCTACCAGGGGAGAAAAGCTTGGGCGGAGTAGGGGGAAGGGAGGAGGGGCACTCTACCCAGGCCAGTGCCTCCAGCCTGCGCTCACTCCATCCCTACTCTGCTTTCCCTCCTGTGTACCCCAGGCCAGCCCACGTGGTCACCCTGGACCCCATGGAGCGAGTGCTCAGCCTCCTGTGGACCTGCCCGACGCCACCGGCGCCGCTTCTGCTCTGGGCCCCCCACCACGGACCTGTCTGTCCTGGCGCTGCCATCCCCACCAACCTTGCCTACTCCTCTTTGCCCAGGCCCCGACGCTGAGGAGGAGCCCTGCCTCCTGCCAGGGTGGGACCGTGAGTCCCCTGGTGCCCAGGATGGTGCCCTCCATGCTCTGGGGATACCCGCTGCCTTGCACCAGCTGGCCCCCAGCCCTGGCCAACACCCCTCCCCCCGACAACTGCTTTCTTGGCTGTCATCCCAGGAGCTGGGGGCTGGGGGCCTTGGGGGCCCTGGTCCAGCTGTAGCCGGAGCTGTGGGCGAGGCCTGTGGAGCCGGATGCGAGCCTGTGACCAGCCCCCACCCCAGGGCCTGGGGGATTACTGCGAGGGGCCTCGGGCCCAGGGAGAGGCCTGCCAGGCTCTGCCATGCCCAGGTACCGGCCAGGAACGGGGGACAGGGGGCAAGGAGCACTCTGGAGAGACGGGGCCGGAGTGGGCCCCCCACATAGCTCTCAGCCCTTCCCGCCCCCTTCCCCAGTGACCGACTGCACCGCCGTTCAGGGGGCAAAGTACAGCCCCTGTGGCCCTGCCTGTCCTCGCTCCTGTGACGACCTCGTGGTGAGTCTGGCTCCCTCAGAACGAATGCCCGCCTGACCTCTGGCCCTGAAGGTCACTTTACAGGAGGGCAGGGTACGGCTTTGGGGTACGGGTACCCGTACAGGGTACGGGTCATGACCTCTTCGGGCCTGGGCAGCCTTGCACTGGTGGGGAGTGATGGAGTTAGTGCCCACCAGGCTGGCTCCCCTTTGTTCCAGGGAGAGTCTCTGGAGTGAGCCTCACCGAGCAACCTTGCGTTCATTACATCAGGCCTTTCTGAATTTAAAGATTGTATTACAAAAAGAACGTAAACACCTAGGAAGGGGGAATTATCCCATTAGATCATCTTAAACACCATGAGCATTTCGGTGTGTGGACCCTGAGTCTGAGGGTACGTGTGCATGCGTGTACGCATCGGTGTGCTGGTGGGTGAATCACCGAACGCCTGGCCAGCACCATGGAGAGGGACAGAGGCATGAGCGCACAGGGTCCCCTACCACGGAGCTTGCAGTGTGGGGAGGAAGCTGACCCGAATCAGGGATGCCCAAGGGATGGTGCCATGAGGCCCCGCGCAGGCGTCTAAGAGGGGTCAGGGAGGTGCCGCACGCACGGGGTGAGCAGGGGGGAGGAAGGGCCGGTGCCTGGCTCCTGGCTTCCCCAGGGGACCCCAGCTCCTTCCCAAATGACCCCATGCCCCAAGCCAGCTTTCTGTTGCCCTGCTCCCTACGTTGTGGGGAGGTCTGGGAGATGCCTTGGTTCCCAGGCACTGACCAGGTCCCCCATGGAACCCTCCACAGGGTTCACATTTGGAGGACACTCCCCTCACCCCCGCAGGGCAGCCCTTCTCAGGCTCTTGTCCCCCCTCCCCACTCCTGCTCTGGCGAAGAGACGAGACAGACAGAAACGGTGTTTGGACATAATGACTATGAACGGGAGCTCGGTGCCTCCCGCCTCTGCACCCCTCCACCTCCTCCTTCCCTTCATGTTTCCCCGTGGCTCTGCGCAACTCCCCAGAGCACCCCTCCCTGCCCCCTCGGTCCTGTCTTCTGCTGACTCGAGCCCTCCCTTGCTGCCCGCCCCCCAGCACTGTGTGTGGCGCTGCCAGCCCGGCTGCTACTGCCCTCCTGGCCAGGTGCTGAGCGCCGACGGGGCCTTCTGCGTGCCGCCCGGCCACTGTGACTGCCTGGACCTGCTGAGCGGGGAGCGGCACCGGCCGGGGGCTTGGCTGCCCAGGCCCGACGGCTGCAACTACTGGTGAGGTGGGCGTGTGGGCGGCTGGAGGGGCCTGGGTGAGGGCGGGCTGCACCTGAGCTCTCCTGGGTCTCAGCGGATGCAGGTTAGACTCCCACGATCCCCAAGGAGATGCGGGCAGGCACGCTCACCCGTGTCTGATTGGTGGGGAAACCGAGGCAGCCAGCTCTGTGTGTCTGCCCTCTGGGAGACATGGCAGGCTGGGTGTGTGCTCGGAGGGGAAGGAGGGGTAACAGGCACCGTGTTCCTCCTCACTGTCTGGCCCCGGTCAGCAGCAGACTACCTCTGGCCCTTCCCCAGTAGGACACACCAGCCAGGGACCAGCAGAGAGCCCACAGGACACCTGAGGGGTCCCTGAATAGGACAGAGAGCAGGGTCTGGGTGCTCTGGAGAATGGCCAGGGGGCATCTGAGACCCTGAAGGGAAAGGGGGGCATTGGGGTGTGGGGAAGGGAAGAGGCAGCTTAGGAGGGGTGCGCATGGAGGGCAGGGGAGGGCTGAGCTGCCGCTCTCCTTCCTGTGCGTGCATGCCCCGCCCAGCACCTGCTCGGAGGGGAGGCTGAACTGCACAGACCTGCCTTGCCCAGGTACGTGTGTCCCAGCTCGGAGGGAGGCAAGGAAAACTGGCCAAGGTCACCGAGACGACTGGGGCTGGGGAGGGGACGCCTGCGCCCCGGTGCCCTTCCATCGTGCCCTGTAGTGCCGGGTGGCTGGTGTCCGTAGTCGGAGTGGACAGCGTGCTCCCAGCCTTGCAGGGGTCAGACGAGGACCCGCTCCAGGGCCTGTGCCTGCCCCGCTCCTCAGCACGGGGGGACCCCGTGCCCCGGTAAAGCGGGGGACGCAGGGGCCCAGCATCGGAAGGAGAACTGCCCCAGCTCCCCCGACTGCCCAGGTGAGATGCCCCCACTAGTCTGCTCGAATTTCAATAGGCTGGGCACCTCCCAGGCCTCCTAGGGCAGGTGATTCTGTCTTCCTGGCACAGTGGATGGAGCCTGGAGCCCGTGGGGACTGTGGTCTCCCTGTGACCCGTGCCTGGGGCAGTCCCATCAGAGCCGGGAGTGTATCTGGCCCCCCACCCCTGAAGGAGGCAGGCCCTGCCCTGGGGGCTACAGGCAGAGTCGCCCCTGCCAAGACAATTCCACACAATGCACAGGTGAGGGCTTCTGCAGAGGTCTGGGAGGGTCCCTTAGAAGGCTAGGGAGACGGTACTTCTGACTTTTGACCCCAGTATACATATGCATGTCACTTCCTTCGTGGGCCAGCCCTTAGATCACTCACCCTGTAATCCTGGGGCAAAGTGGAAGGCAAAGCAGGTGGAGGGCGTGGCAGGAGGGCTTGTCACCTGCATGCTGGCATCCTTCAGGCTGGGCCCCTGCTCAGCATTCACCCTCTCTGCTTCCGTCCCGCCACAGCCTGTGGGGATGGCCAGGGTCTTCTCCCCTGCGGTTGGCCCTGTCCCCGCTCCTGCCAGGACCTGTCTCCTGGGAGTGGGTGCCCCCCCGGCCAGCTGTCCCAGGATGGTCTTTGTGTGCCTCCCGCCCGCTGCCGCTGCCACTACCAGCTTGGAGCCATGGGTCAGTGCTTCCCTTTGCCCTCTCCCAAGGACCCCCGAGCACTGCAATGCCCGCCCGCCTGGCCTCTGCCCATCTGCCCGCAGAACCCAGCCTGGAGCGGCAGGATGGAAACGGGCAACCTGTCCTCTATGATGCTCCAGGCGTCGTCTCCCGCAGATCCCATGGCATCCCGGGCCTGCCCGGGTTGGGGCTTCCATCTCCCAGGCCCACGATCTGGGGCGCCATGGGGTGAAGGCTGAGAGGGAGGGAGGTGGAAGGCAGTGGGGTAGGAGGAGGGATTCAGGGTGGGGGGCACCCTGAGCTATCTGGAGTCCCACCCCCACTCATGCCTTCAGGGATTCCTGAGAACCAGAGCCGGTCAGCAGGGCCTGGGCTTAGCTCCTGGGAGAGCCTGGAACCCGGAGAGGTGGTGACTGGGCCCTGTGACAACTGGTGAGCCCAGGGAAGCAGGGGGAGGGGAGTGGGCTGCAGAGCCGGGCAGTAGGGCCCTTGGGGGAGGTGGCCGGGGTCCTGTCTTCTGAAGCCCCCTTCCCTGTCCCCAGCACCTGTATGGAAGGCATCCTGCAGTGCCGAGAGGTGCCTGGCTGCCCCGGCCCTGGGATGTGGGGTTCCTGGGGTCCCTGGGAGGACTGCAGTGTCTCATGCAGAGGAGGGGAGCAGCTCCGCTCCCGGAGATGTGCCCGGCCCCCCTGCCCTGGGCCTGCCCGCCAGAGCCGCAGCTGCCACACCCAGGTCTGCAGAGGTGAGCCCCAGCCCAGGTTCCGCCCTTGACGCTCTAACTTAGGTTGGATTCCTACGTTGGCCTGTGACACAGACTCAAAGGTGTCTTTGCCCTCTTCCATCCCATCCCCATGGGCTGCCCTCTCCCTGGGGCCAGTCGTGGGCAAGAGGAGGGGGAAGTAGCCAGATTCAGGGAGGGGAGCCTGTGGGAGGGTGTGACATTGGCCCTGAGGGGCACAACGCAGGGAGGATATCGTGAGCACAACTGGGGAGCCATGGGAGGGCGGGCGCAGGGGCGAGTAAGCAGGTGGCGGGGTGGGTGTCGAAGGAGCCACCGCGGGCAGCACAGGCCAGAGCCGGGCCCTGATACAAGCGTTGCCCCAGAGGCAGGCTGCCCGGCTGGACGTCTGTACCAGGAGTGCCCGCCCCACGAGGGGTGCCCCTTCTCCTGCGCCCACGTCACTCGGCAGGTGGGCTGCTTCTCCGCTGGCTGCGGGGAGGGCTGCTACTGCCCCGTGGGCACCTTCCAGCACCGCTTGTCCTGTGTCCAGGTCAGAACCCTCTCAGCCAGGAGCCCAAGCCCTCCCTCCCCTCCCCTGCCTTTCCTCCCTCTCACCCACAGCTGCTCAGCCCTGCAGACCCTGTCCTCTGGACAGCGCCCCGCTTCCTCACGTGACCCCAGGCAAGCGTTCGGCCTGCCAGGCTGTCTGAGGCCTTGGCTGCCCGGGGCAGTCAGACAGAGGTGGAGCTCCCCGAGCAGGCAGCTGGGGTGATGTCACCGGTTCCCTGGAACGGGGGCCTTGCCTGGGCTCCTGCTCTTCAGCAGCGGCTCCCTGGCTGCCAGCTCCCGTGGGGGGCTCCCACGTGGAGCCGCCCGTGACTGGCGTGGGGCCAGGTGCCCCCCTGCCCTCAGGGCAGTTTCCTGCCAGGCCCAGTGCTCTCCACACCATTCAGGCCACAGCCGGGAATCATGGGTCCTCACTGCTCCCTTTCTCTGCCACACCCCGGTGGGGAAGCGTACCCTCGCCTTTACTCTGCCCCAGACTCCTTGTCTCCCGCTATGGGGTCCAGACAACAGGCAGGTGCCAACTGTGCTCTGCGGAGCTCTCCAGGTGCGTGGGGATTTCGGTCCCAGGCTTTAATCCTAAGCTCGAAGCCGGTGTCGGGTGGCTGCCCCCAGCCAGAGTTCCAGAAGGGCCTGAGCAGCAGCCACCTGCTTGACGTAGAGCTGATGACACTGCGTGAGCTGCAAAAAAGGAAAGGGACACACCGGGTCATCCAGACAGTTATCGGTAAAACTAGGGACCGGGTGTCTGATTCCTGGCTGAGGCTCTTTCCACCTCCGTGTTCTCTCCAAGTCCTGCCCTGGAAGGACTTCTGCTGACCCTGCCTGGGTCCTAGCCAAGTGCTGTATGCAAGAAAGCCACTGGCCATTTCGGGTCAGGTTCATAGGCCCCTAGTCTCTCATGTTCACAGCCCTGACTCAGGGAAACTGTCCCATTTGCTCCAGGGAATGCTCTTCTGGGGCCCAGAGCGGCACCCCCCAGCCTCACATGTCTTCCTCCCCGCCTCCCTGGGCCGCAGCGCAGACAGCGGGCACCGGGCCTAGGCGATTGCACCTTCCCCTCTGCTCCCTCCCCGCCAGGAGTGCCCCTGTGTGCTCACCGCATCGCTGCTGTGGGAGCTGGGAGCTGCCGGCGCTGACCCTGGGGCTCACCCCCCCATTCTGGGAGAGGGCGGTCAGCCCCTTGGGCCTAGGGGATGAGCTGGGCTCAGGCCAGAGCCTTCGTACAGGCTGCAGGAACTGGTGAGGGGACGGCGAGAGTGGGGGAGATTTGGAGCCAAGAGAGGGGGAGACACCGGCTGCCCTGCCCTTGCCCGGCCTGACTACCCTTGGCTCTGTCCCTTCACCCTTTGGGGCGGATCCCCTTGCCCACCCCCCTTTCTCTCAGGGTCTGTCCTGGCCGCACCTCACCCCCATGCCCTTTCCCCAGCTCCTGTGTGCACGGGCAGCTGTCTTGCTCGGTGGGGGACTGCTCCAAGGCTGTTGGTGGCTTCGGTCCCTGGGGGCCATGGGGCCCATGCTCCCGCTCTTGTGGTGGGCTGGGCACCCGAACCCGCACCCGCCAGTGTGTGCGGCCCTCCCCAGCTCCAGGCAGCCAGGGCTGCGGTGGGCCCCGCCAGGACCTCAAGTACTGCTCTAGCCCAGACTGCCCAGGTGAGGGAAGTGGGAAGGGCGAGTCTAGCTGCGCTTGGGGCCTGGAGGGCCCATGGGAGACCCAGCAGGAGGGAAGGGCTGAATCAGATAGTGGTGGGTTTAGAACTGGGCCACCAGCCTCAGGTTTGGTCCTGGGGGCACTGCAGACTCAGAAACATTCTGAGCAGGGCTTTTCTTTGGCACAGGGGCTGGAGGGTCCACAGTGGAGCCCGTGACAAGCCTTCCAGGTAGACCAGACTCCGTGGGTCCCAGCCCCAGACTGGCTGTACCCCTCGCACGTGGCCTCCCTTTGGGAAGACAAGCCCAGAGCCTCCTTCCTCCCCAGCCCTGCTTCCTGGGAGGCCAGGAGCCCGGGGTTGACTCAACAGGAGATGCTTCTCCCTCCTGTCGTCGCAGGCGGCTGGGGCCCACGGTCCCCATGCTCTCACACCGGCACAGACCCCACTCACCGTGCTTGGCGCAGCCGTGCTCGCCTATGCCTGGCAGACTGCACCAGGGGGGACGCGTCACAGGAGCGCCCTTGCAACCTGCCCTCCTGCACAGGTGCGCCTTCCCGTCTTGACCTCTGACCCTGACCCGTGTCTGAACCATGGCCATCCCCTCTACGCCCAGCATCCTCCCTCCAGCAGCTCATTCTGACCCCCAGCCCATGTCCGACCTCCCAACCCCGACATCTAATACCCTTGAAGCAAATACCGAGTTCTCAGCCTGATATGGAATCATGAATCCATGTGTGACTCTGGACCCGGGGTGCTCTGTGCCAGGCTGGGCAGCTGTTGGGGCCTCCAGGCCCTGCCCACACCGGCAAACTCTCACTTGTGTGTGTACTGAACACTCACCCAAATTCCCATCCAAATCCCTGAGCATTCCGGTAAGTCTGGGACCACGCACGGCCCCCTGAGACCTCGTTGCCAAAGCCTCGAAACAGCCGGTATCAGATCCGAAACAGGACCCCAGAGGTCTGGATGAGGGCCTGGCCGGCCCGGTGGATGAGGAGCTCTGCACTTGGGCTGAGGCGGGGGAGTCAGGGCTGGCTCCAGCTCGCTTCGTTCCGTCCTGTCCCGGCCCGCAGGGCGGCCCCTGTGCCCCAGCCCTGGCTGTGTGGCTGGGAACTGTTCCTGGACCGCCTGGGCCCCATGGGAACCTTGCTCCCGAAGCTGCGGGGTGGGCCAGCAGCGTCGTCTGCGGGCCTACCGTCCCCCAGGGCCCGGTGGGCACTGGTGCCCCGACATCCTTACCACTTACCAGGAGAACCGCTTCTGCAACCTGCGGTCTTGCCCAGGTGAGGAGGGCTGCTAAGGACCAGCGCAGGCCCTTCCATGGCCCCAGGTGCCCCTGTGGCGCTTCCATCTTAGCGCGAGACCCTACCCCAGGCTCCTGGTGCATGGGGGGGGGGGCCTCTGCCTGAGCTAGATCATCCCTCATGTGGCCCTTGTCTCTGCCACGCAGTGCATGGAGGCTGGTCACGCTGGAGTCCCTGGTCCTGGTGTGACCGGAGCTGTGGGGGGGGGGCGATCCCTGAGGAGTCGCAGCTGCTCAAGGCCCCCACCCAAGAACGGGGGTGCCCCCTGTGTTGGGGAGAGGCACCACGCTCGGCTCTGCAATCCCTTGCCCTGTGGTATGGTGGTGGGGATAATCGCATCCCTGGTGGCCTTTGCCCCCTGCACAGCTCTCCCCATCCCACCCCTAATTTAACTCCCACGACACCTTGCGACGGAGACACTCAGTAGCCAGCAGAGAAAACTGAGGCCCGCAGGGTCGGACGGCGGGATCTGGGTACCGTGCGCGGGGACTCGCTGTGGCCAGGGCTGAGCTGCCAGAATGCTTGCCCCTGCCTGCCCCCACCCTGCACCAGAACTGGTTCTCGAAGTTTTGCCCACCCTCCATCTCCTGAAGAACCACCTAGCCCAGTCAAGATTTCTGGAGGATTTGAGGGTTACAGTCAGGAGTGCACCTGCTCCTGGGGTGTGGGTGGCCACTTCCAGACACGCCGCTCCCAGCTTCGGTTCCTTATTGGTCCTTACTGGTCCTTCTGAGCCCCCCAATATCCCTCATATTCCCTCCAGGTGAACACAAAGGAGCTGTGTCGGCGAGCATGTTCTTAGATGCACAAATTCAGTCTAGCTCAGTGACGTTTTGGGGGTGCCAGGCTAGGTGATGAGAACCCCCAGGTAGGTAAGAGGGACTCCCTGTCACGCAGAACGTCCCAATCCCAGGGGTCTCCCCAAGACCCCATGTTTCCATGGGCACCAACGTGGGGAGAGGGTTGGGAGTATAGCTTCATGGAGGTAAGAGCAGTTCCCGGGCAGGCAGGTGGACGGTTGCTGAGCCCCGGTGCTCAGAGCCCTCTTGACTCAGGTCCTCCCTGTCTGCTCAGAGGAGGGCTGCCCAGCAGGCATGCAGATGGTCAGCTGTGCCAACCGTTGCCCCCGCTGCTGCTCAGACCTCCAGGAGGGGATCGTGTGTCAGGACGGCCAGGCCTGCCAGCCGGGTTGCTGCTGCTCTGAGGGTAGGGGCGGCCCTGGCCCCGCGGCGTGTCAGCGCGGCTCAGTGGGAAGGCCGGTGGGCCCCGGCACAGCTCTGGAGGGCTGCCTCCCCCGCAGGCTTCCTGGAGCAGGACGGTGGCTGCGTGCCGACTGGGCACTGTGAGTGTACAGATGCCCAGGGCCAGAGCTGGGCGCCGGGCAGCCAGCACCAGGAGGCCGGCAGCACCTGCACCTGCCAAGCTGGGCGCCTCTCCTGCACGGCTCAGCCCTGCCCACCGCCTGCCCACTGCACCTGGAGCCGCTGGTCAGCCTGGAGTCCCTGCAGCAGCTGGTGTGGGCCCGAGGGGCAGCAGAGCCGCTTCCGGTATGGGGCTGGGCCAGGCTAGCGTCCCCTCCCCCAACCCCAGTCTCCCACTGCCTGGACTCGGTCTTCCTCTCTGATGCAGAGCTCCTGGATCCTGCCCCCACCCCGCATCCCCCGCCGTGGCATACCCTCTGTGCTCTGGCCCCAGCTCTTGGCCCGGGTCATCCTCGCTTTCTTTAGCCGCCCCAGGTTTGCCCGTCAGGTGTCTCACCAGGAGACAGAGGAGTGATGAAGGGCCCTGGGCTATCTCTCACCTTCTCTGCCCCGGGCCCCACCCAGGTCCTCCACAGCGGGCTCATGGGCCCCAGAGTGTCGGGAGGAGCAGTCCCGGAGCCAGCCCTGCCCTCAGCCCCCGTGCCCACCCCTGTGCCCGCATGGTGCCCGCCTCCACACCCTGGGGGACAGTTGGCTGCAGGGCGAGTGTCAGCAGTGGTAAGCCTGGGGCAGGGGCAGGGACGGGGTGGTACTGTCCTGTAGGAGGGCAGCGTCCCTGAGTCCGGGCTCCTCCCCTCAGCTCCTGTACCCCGGAGGGCATCATATGTGAAGACATCGAGTGCGCAGGTCCGGGGTTGCATCCCAATGCCACCTTCCCCCACCCTCCTAGCCTCAGGCCAGCTTGCTTGCTCTGT